TTTAGGAGGGAAAAGGAAGGAGGCCCCCTTGAGTTTTTTTTTTTTTTTTTTTTGGGGGGGGGGTTGGGGGGGGGCGTAAAATCGAGGTTCCGTTTTCATGAGCAGAGAATCATTTATTGAGGATTATTATATTTATATTTAGTTTTTATTATGTTGAATTATGTTTAATTTAGTGTGCGTCAACACTGGTCAATTACCGTCCTAGAATTATTGAGATTGATGATGTGGCCATGAACTTGTAGGATTTTTGGAATTTTTCTTCTTTTAAGTTTTAAATCTATTTGTGTCGAATTTATGTCAGAAATAGAGAATTAATTTCAATTAAAAGGAAAAATAAAAATAAAAAGCTAAGGTGGGGAAAGAAAGTGGTGAAAGGCAATTTCTGGCAGAAAAAGAGATTTACTTCCCCCCCCCGATATTTGGTAATCTAAGAAATTAGTACGAATTAATTCAAAAAGGATTTAAAGGAGAGAATACTGCCCAATGCCCATTCAATTTTTTTGGTATAATCTCTCCCAAGCGTTATAGTTTTGATTTTGATTTTTCTTTCTTTTTTTTTTGGCGTGTGATCAGTTTCAATGATCAGTGAATTGAAGAAAATAAAATATTTCGAAGAAATAGTAATCTGTAGAAAAACAGTCTTGAGGAAATAAATAAAATTATCTGAACATTAGTGAAGAAATACTAATCTGAAGAAAAATTATTTGAAGAAAAAAGAAATTGAAGAGTTAATAACTTGAAATCCTACTTGCAACCGCACCATGCTCCGTACCGTGTGTGCGGCGCGGCAACTGCTCGTGCGCTGTACCAGCGGCAGTTTCCTTTTTTTGTTTTTGTTTTGCCTGTTTTTTTGTAGATACAGAAGAGTGCAACAAACACCTAGCTACCCAGTAAGGAACTGGTCTTTTCAAGTACGGTCGTGGACAGAAGATTTTTCTTTCCGTCCACTTGGGCATGAGAAAGAGCCTAGAAAAGGTGAAATAGCCTCAAAGCTGTGTCTGGGACATCAGTGTCGACTTTTAGGCAGCGGCGTTACCCTCCCGCTAGTTCCCCCCCCCCCCCCCCCCCCCCCCCCCCCACATCCCACACCAAATCTTTAAAGGGGATGCAGGTGACCATTTACCCAGCCATGCGACCCGTTTTGTTTTTCGGAGTGCCCTGTGCGCTGCACATACCGTGCAGGTCCGCTCATGCGCCGAACGTGCCAGATTTTTCGCACGGCGTCCACTTGCATGTATGCGTGCGGCGTCCGCTTGCATGTATGCCTGACATATGTGTATATGTGCCATGCAGCCGTGCGCCATACCCTTGCACACAAGCGTGAATTTGAATTCTCAGGAGCTTCATGCATGGATCTGCCCGGGAATACGGTTGGGTACAATCAGCAACCCCCTCCTCCTCCCCGTTGTGAGTACTTGCTGACATTCTGGATGTTTTGGTCCCATTCCTGACCAGCCTTCTCATGGTGGCTCTGGTGAATTCTCAGGAGCTTGTTTTTTGTATGAATTTGCCTGAGAATACGGTTTAGTACAGCCAGAATATCCCTCGTCCTTCCCATTATGAGTACTTGCTGAATTTCTGGATATTGTGGTCCAATTGCTGATCTGCGTGCGTAGATTTGCTGTCGACTTATTGAATTCTTTTTCGATTTGCTGTCAACGTACTGAATTCTTTTTTTTTTTTACTGAATTCTTTTTTTTTTTTACTGAATACTTTTTTTTCTTTTTGTAAGTTATTGAACTCTAAAGATGTGTAATTCAACTACCAACTGTCGGCGGCCTGAACTTGCCAAAAAGTGGATCATGTGAATTTGATTTGAAGAAAATTCCTGAGTGGGAAAAGAATCGTTAGGAGGGGAGGGTAAAAGAAAGAAAAAAGAAAAAGGGGGAAAAGAAAACAATTGCTCCAGTTGGCATATGGAAGACTGGATTTTATTTCAATCGAAGACAAGAGGTTGGCATGTTGGATGTTGGATGCTCAGAGTAATCCAGAGCAAGGCCAACCAGTGGTTCGCTTTTTTTTGTTGTTGTTGTTTCGTTTTTTTTTTTTTTTTTTTTTTTTTTTTTTTTTTTTTTTTTTTTTGTGGAACTGACCGGCGCCAGGTAAGTCTGAGATTCATTCAATGAGTGTTTTTATCAGGATTGGAGCTTACGTCATTTTGTCCCACCCAGTTTGCTTTGGCCTGAAAGTCCAATTCGATCCAAACAAGGTGCTTTGACAGGGAAGTTTGCACCTTGGCGCACAGGTTGAGTGAGGCTCACTTTGTTTCCACCTTGCCAATTTGAAGTCACACACAATTGGGAGAAAGAACATAATCTCACACACAATTGGGAGAAAGAACATAAGTTGGAAATAATCTCCTTTCCAAGTACGTGCATCACCATTCCTGGAGATCCTCTCTCTCTCTCTCTCTCTCTCTCTCTCTCTCTCTCTCTCTCTCTCTCTCTCTGTGTGTGTGTGTGTGTGTGTGTGTGTTTGTGAGATGCTCGATGTTCTGCATCTCTATGTATATCGCTGTGTCTTCATGTTTCTAAGTGCATGGGTGCATGTGTGTGTATGTGTGCTGGAGGGTGGGTTGGGGTTGTGGGTTGTAGGGGTGGGGGGGTGTAGGTGTGTGCGTGCAGGCATGCTTGCACGTGTGTGTGTGTGTGTGTGTGTGTGTGTGTGTGTGAGAGAGAGAGAGAGAGAGAGAGAGAGAGAGAGTGGCAGACCCGTCGGGATGGTCGTCCGTTAGGGTGAAGAAGGTTCGAGGATGGAGGAGATGGAGATGGAGCTGGAAGGGACAGCACAGCTCCGATGCAGACTCAAAACGCACGTACTCTGAAGTGTGAAGAATGAAGAATGACTGAAAACAGACTGCAGTTGGGGTATACCCCCATCAGACTGGCTGGACTGGACTGGACTGGACTAGCACACAGCCTGTGGGGTCAGGCCACGGCCTTGTCCCACAGGCCGAACAGGCAAATAGCCTGATAGGCCCTGGCTGTAGGGCAGGGCAGATAGAGGCCCGCTGCACGATCCGCAGACCTCTAGTGGATTGCAAGAGCCATAAACACCCTATCCGCCAAAAGCAGCGGAACTCTGCAATCAAGAAAGCTGAGAAATCTAAGATGGGGAGCAAGCTCCATGCGGAGTCCATGCGATGCAGCCTAATCTACATAATGTCAAATGAAAAGTAAACGTCTGGTTTACACATACTAACTAACAATAAAAAATGACATGTAGCAAGATATGATCCTAAAGTTCTGGAGGCAATTGCCTAAGTGCTGAAAGGAAAAGAGAGCAATATGTCACAAGTAATATAATGTCGCTGAACCGCTAAGAGTGGGATGGTTTCAGAGGGGTGAATGCAGCCTAAGAATCGAAAGTCCTAAGGGCAGTCACACCCAAAGGTGGGAAAGGTCATCATGCTCAGAGTTAGGGAGTGGTAGCGAAGCAAAACCAATGATCCTAATAGAGAGACCATAAAGGTAGGTAATGCTCGACAAAAGGGTGACACTATGCAGGGTCGACCATGAAAGGGGAATGTGGAATAGGGTGGACATATGCCTAACTGAGGACATGCAATGGTCGACATTAGGGTGATGAGCGATGCAGTAGGTGAGGGAAACATGCACACAAGTCACGAACTGGGGGAGGGAGCTATATTTGGGAGCAGGGAAGCCAAAATGACGCTACAGTCTCAATGTCTATGCGATACCAAGGGAAAGCCCAACTTAGAGCGACCCATCTAAGTGAGAACTATCATGCCACACATTCAAGGGAATATACAAGGTAGGCTGGGCTTGAATTTCAAGATAAGGATTCAGATTCTTTGAACTTGAAAAGAAATCTTAATAATAGATTAGGACATTCAAATCTTGAATTCCCTATGGAGAGCGTAGTACGATGAAAGTTGTATGCTACGTTCGGGGGGAAGTAATTG